AAATAAGTCTAAAAAAGATCTAAGATCTTTTCAGGATCTTTTCCTCAGTATATCTGAGCTGTACTGAACTCCAGACAGTCCCCTTGACAAGGCTCACAAGAACATCAAAACTGCCAACACCAGATTGGGGCAGGGTCCATCTAGCCGAGTACCTGTTTCCAACAGCTTAAGCAGCAGTTGCTTTTGTAGAAGGGCATGAAATTCTGCTGTAGGGAGTTATTGGATAACATATCCCTCAGAAAGTCTTCTCCTAATCCACACTACTGAGTGGTTGCCTTAAGCTCTGAAGCAGGAGGGTTGGCCTCCCACACATTACTATTCTACTATCCTCCATTACCATTCTAATTCACTTTGACATCAATGCCTGCAGCCACACTAGACTGACAGCACCTGCTCTCATCCTGTTTCAGAAGCTAAGCAGTCCTCAACTGGTAGCATGTAGATGAGAGACCTCTTGGGAATCTCAGGTACCAGAGACACAAGTCAAGGAGTTATTAGTGAATACTCAGCAAATATTAGATGATAGAAACAGAAAAGAATAGAGAACTCTATTCAGCCTCCTCATCAATAACGAACATGATTTAAAAAAACATCAAAGGGAACTACAGAACTCTAAATGCAAGATTCTGCCTTAAAAAAAAGGATGTGTGGGAGCATTACACTTAGCTGCTAATGTACAATGCCCGTTACCTCTCAGGGCATGGCTGAAAGCTGCCTTCTCTCAGCCCCCACACATTTTGGGTCTCCTGAGAGGAACACGTCCCTCTGAACAGAGCTTAAGTTACTCTGAGTCAAGTTATCTTTGAAGATCTGGAGAATACACAAAGGGCTAACTTGATGTAATATTCATATCGACTTGCCTTCAAATACATTCCTTCCTGCTGGAGCCATCTCCTTAGGACTTGTGCAGGAGTTAGTCCCAGATCACAAAACACTGCCTCATTAATGCAGATTCTTGTCAAATGGGCTGGACTGTGAGCATCAGCTAAAACAGAATTCCATCCTGCTAGCAGTAAGCAGGGACTCCCAGGTTCTATGCTCTGCTGTGCCAGAGGGCTTGGATGGGTCACTTCATCTCTGCTCTGTCCTCCAAAATGGGAACAAGGATATGGACCTCCTTTGTAAAGTGTCTGGTGTCTATGACAGAAGACTGTTGGAGGTACTGTATCTGGCAGTTCCTGGGGTAGGACAGGGCACTGTCTGATCCCTCTGCTTAAAGGCCATGGTCCAAGCTGGTACATTAGGATACTTGGCTAATGCATATTTACCATCAAGAAAAGCCCTACTAAAGCCAAGGAGATTTTTGCCCAAGTAAAATCAGGGAGAGGATTTCTTCCTGGAATTGGTTGGCCATTTCTAAATAGACTTCTTAAACACTGATCAACGTTCAAAGAGATCAGCCACGCTTGTGTGTGCCAGACCCCTAGAGTGATAGAGTTCAGTCTTATGAATGTAAATTCTAATATTACAGACATCAGGAAAATGTTAAAAATCCTATAGAGAGATGGAAAGTTGTGGCTTTGGAGCAAAAAGGAAGAACTGGCTCATTTTCCTTAGACCCTTTGTAATTTGGAGTAACTCACTGAAGTAACTTCTAATAGCAATGTGGTAAGACAGATAAATAAAGTTCTGTTTTTCAGCCAGCACACTCGCATAAACTCTTATAACTGTCATTAGTGTTACAGCCAGAAAGGCCCATCCTAGCACTCCAGTGACCTCTCGCACAGCCCAGGCCAGGAAAGAAGTACTGTCTGAGCTGTAGAGCAATGCAGCTTCCAAAGAAGCCCAGTACATGGCAGCACTTTGAGAGTGGAAGGGGAGCCAGCCAAGTGGACTCTTGATGTCCCAGGGAAAGGGAATGCTGAAGAGAGGTCAGGGCCTCATGTTACTAATGTTGTGGTAGTTCTGAGGCCCGAGCACTCTGGGTGCTAAAAAGCAGTCACGCGCTCCCCCAGTGAGTTATTTCTAGTGCCGGCGAGTGTGTGTCATGGTTGTGACAGAAGCTTTCTGCATCTCTTCATTCACACCCCCATGTACCAAAAGCATGTAACAAGTATGGCCCAGCCCTGTGCCTCCTCCACACCCTGCCTGGCTGAAATCCGCCACATCTGGAGGACTCTGGGAGCGGAATGCTTGAACAATACCCATGCTTCTTCCCCTGCTGGGGTGGAAGGCCTCCCTACCATCTCACCTACAGAAAGACATCTGCTCCCAGGCTGGTGAATAATGCATTATACTGCTCCTTCTCACTTCAGACTCCAGACATGGAGGCTGATCATTCCAGCGGAAATAGCTTGCTTGCCCCCTCCCACCCTGCAGACAGATGCTGGCTTTCCTGGGTGGTTCAGTCTATTCACGATTGGTAAACAATATTTTGAACACTTTCTCTTGTGTTTCTCCTTTGACAAGCCGAATAACTCCAGCTGTCTGTGCCTCTCTAAAAGATCGACCAGAGCTGACCAGGTGGCTATTGTGCTCAGACAGCCTCAGCTTTCTCAGCCCATATGGCAGTGGAGTTCTCGCGGCTGGTGCGCTGTGCTTGTACACTGGGTGCTAAGGAAATGGTTCAGAGAAGAAAAACACAGATCTGACTTCAGTTGAGCGTGAAGAACAAATCAGGGAAAGGCAAGGCCTCTGCAGCAAGGAGCACAAGGGAACTCAATGCTGAACAGTCAGAGAACTGGTTTCCCTTCTCAATTCAAGACAGGGCAATTCCCCAAGCTCTCAGGTCAGAGTTGGGGCCCACAGTCAGTGTGGTACAAAGCTTGGTTCTCATGAGGCTGTTTGTGAACCTTGCTTGCATCATCTGCCTGAAGATCTCAAGGCACTTGGCAGCCATTAGGGAATACAGCTGCTGAATCTCCAACCCACCAGGCAAACGGGGGGAAACCGTCACAATGTGGCTAAGGGCCCAGGCCTAAAGGTGTGCTAAGCCACAGGGTAGCTAATGTTGAGCCTTCTGGTTCAGGCCCTGCTCTACCACAGGCTTCCTGCATGACCTTAGAGAAGTCACTTCATCTCTGTGCCTCAGGCTGCCATGTAGAAAATGGGGCATATAACTCTTTTCCTTCTTGATTGACTGTCCTGAGTCTTTACGCTGTAAACTCATGCAGTGGCTAGCACAACTGTACCTCAGTTGAGACCTCCAGGAGCTGCTGTAACGCATGTAATAACAGCAGTGGCAGAGCTGCAGTCACTCACCTCTAAAGACTATGTTTAGCACAGGGCTGTCCAACTGGCAGCCTGTGAGGCACTCATGTGTGGCCCCCAGGTTTTCACCAGCTGCTGCTTCTCCCATCACTCTGGCTGCAACTGGCATCTCCCAGTTCCCTTCTCCATCCTCTGGCTGCCACTTCTCATCTTGAACCCGGGAGGCAGGGCAGTGAGACAGCGCAGAGAGCTGAAGATGAATCTGGGGCTGTGTGCTAGGGGTGAGGAGAGTGCCCATGTGGGCATACAGTACCCGGGGGTGGGGGAAGCATCCATGGGGCATGTCTGGTGGCATATGGTATGTGTCCCCTGGGGGCTTAGAAGCAGGACACCCCTACTTTAGCATTTAGCCATAAACCCATCGTTTAGACCCCAGTCTCCCTGACCATGCTTTTGTCAGGGATAGGAGCAACAGGGATGTGTTTCAGAGAGATATGGGCACTGATCAGTTAAGATCACAATGGATCCAGCCCAGAGGAAAAACAGAACACCCCTCCCCCATCCCAAATCCAAACATCAAGGAAGTTAGTCTCCAAGGCTTCTGCATATGGCTAAGGCAGGTGGCTTCACATGCCCAGGACTTCCCCATCCCAGCAGAAAATTAAAATCTAAGCTAGGATTGCATGAGAGGACGGAAACAGCCTGGAGAGTTTTTGTGCTGACCGTTGCAGTGCCAGTATGGGCAGGACATTATGATTATACCGGGGGTTTGTGGTGGCAGTCGCAGCCACTTCTCCTGTTGCATGGATGCTTTCAAATAAAGGTAGCTCCCTGCTTGTGAGGAGGGGAATGCCAGGAGGTAAGAGTGCTGCCTGGCCCCTGAAGAGCACAGCTGTGTCAGCTCTGGGCTGGAGGTTAAATATCTCATGAAAGAGCCCTGGTTACAGGCTGCCGTCTGGGAATAGTGGACACAATGGGAGACTCAGCAACGAATGAGGAGGGCGGGGGAGGGGGATTACATTCAGACAATGGAGGCTTAAGGGCCTCAGTGGTCTCATCACATTGCAGTGGGGCCAGTGTTTACTTCGGGAGTCTGGGCAAATGTCCTTCTAGGAAGACGCAGCATGGTCAGAAATAAAACACCTGAAGGAGGAACATAAAACTGGGCAGCAACCACCTCATCCAACCCCTGAGCTCATGGATCTCCCCTTCCTACCTGCTAAGCTGAACAAATGCAGGGGGTGGGAGGCTGCTGTCAGCAACACGCCTGCAAGCAGCATTCCAGGCCTCACCAGGCCCTCTTGCAACACCAAGTAAGACAAAGACACAAACATGCACTGAACAAACTGGATTGGTACAGAAACTGCTACTCAGTCTTACCTATGGCATAGCCATGAATGTCTCCCATGGGTGATGGGAACCAAGGGAAAGGTTTCCTTTCCCTAGAACTGCCTCATCATTCTAAGCCACTCTAGCTAAGTGCCCACTAGCATTTACACCAGTGAAAGTGTGTCACTCCACTGTACAAACTTGCACCAGTGTGTAGCTTGGCACAGAATTTGCTCATCTTAGCTCTTGCCCCTCTGATTTCACATAGCACATGGGAGCTCATTATTTAACTCTGGTACATTAAGGAGCAGTGTAAATATGCACATATTAAGCCTAGTTATTTTGTGGCTTTAAATACTTCTTGCTGGACACAGGCTATAATACACATGACATAGAATATAATTGCAATGAAAATACTGCAACATACAAGCCAGAGTGTGTGTCTTCAACCAGCGTCTAAAGGATGAAATCATAACTGCTCAGTGATGTGTCATAGTCCTCACACTGCACAGAGAACTCACCTTCAGCACAGGTGGTAGGAGGCTGGTGCTTCTGAAGAAGGAGGTCCAAGTTATATTCTTGCTGTCATGGTGGAGGAGGGAGTAGCCATGGCAACAGTCTTAAACCAGTAGGTGGTTACACATTTGTTGCAAAATGTACCTGATGGAAGACAAACAATAATGTTAATATACACAAGACTTTCACCCACAGCAGCAGCACCTGCTAAGTCTTGGCCAAACATATTTTCCAGAGGGACAAGGAGTCTAAGGTTAATGCATAATCTCATTCCTAAACAGATGAGTCTGAGTCCAAATTGGTCAGCCCAAGACTATGGAAATATCTGGATCGGGATATGAGCTTTCTGGTCTGAGCCCAATGAAATGAAGAAGGATACAGGTAAGGAAGGTGGACTAAAGGACAGAACACTGGACTAGGGGCTAGGAGATCTGGGTTCAGCTCAATGTTTCCTTTATGACTTAAACAAAAAATTCAATCTACCCTATACCTCAGTTCCTCCTCTTTAAAAGAGAGGACAATATTTCTCCCCCTTCACAGATCAGTTGAGAAGATAAAATCCTTTAACAATAATGAGATGCTGAAAGGCTGTGGGGATATGGGCTATATAAATAGGAAAATGCAGCAATCATCAGCTATTATTAGAAATGTGTTTTTCCCACTGAGGGGTTTGTTGTGCAGGTCAGATGCAGACCTGTGATAGAGGCAGCATCTCACTAGCAGGTCCAGCATGCTGGCATGATAATTTAATCAAATACTTCAGTAGCATTCCTTTTACTAATTTCTGCTCTGAAGCTTCTGCCAGGGACCTATTCCACCTTAAACTACTGCTGCTGCTGGTTTATTATCAGACAGGAGCATTAATAATGGGCCTTGCCAGTGCTTTCAGACTGGACTCATTTTCTATGGATTCCAGCAGATTGACTTCTTTCAGTGTCATTTCATGGCCTGAGGGCTCTGAATCCAGATCGCAGCCCCATTCCCCTTCCCCAGCCCCCCTTCCCTTTCTTTCTCTCTTTCTTTCTTCCATCCAAATTTACAATCCCTCATTTCCATTCTGCTCCACCCTCTCTCCAGAGACTTTGTTCTCTGGCCTGTATCATTGCATTGCAATTGTCCCGTGTTTATTTCAAACATTTTGGCGGGCTGTCACTCCAATGGAAACTTAATTAATTGCAGGGTTTGTGGCTCTTGGACAATAGTGTCTGAAGCAAAAATAAAATAATTAGAGGCAGCTTTTGAAAAAAAAAAAAAAAAAAGAGTTTTATGGTCTTCTGATGAACCGGCTAATAACAGCAACAACTTGGGAATGGGAACAGAGTTGCAGCATGTTTTCAGAGCCCTAAACAAACCTGTAATGTAATTCTATTGGATCTCTGCAAATATTAAAAAGAGGTGGCTAAAATACACTTTGAGCCAAACCCTGGAGTTCTGACCAAGCGAAAACTCCTCTTACAAAATAAAACAGTAAGAGCCCAAGACTCATTCTCAAGATCTGCCATAGCGCCTTTAATATCATCATCTGAGCAAGGATGGAGTAAAAACTGAGCAGTGCCATCCAAGTTTGGTCCTCGACGTCACTCCAATACTGTTGTAAAATGCCATCTATAATTCATACAAATAACCCAATTAGATATGAGAGATCTGATTCTTCCCACTTAGCACACCTCAAAAACAGAGTTTTCATACTTATCCTTTTTCAAGATAAGTATTTGACAGGTGGGGGACAGATCCCATGTGCAACAACTGACTGAAGTTAGTGCATTTCTCATAATGAACATATGGACATTACTGATAGAGTTTTGTTTGCAATTTGTAATCAGGGTCTCATGTTTTCTATGAGTCTGAATTCACCAGTAAAAAAACCCCCAAAAAACTATTGGTAAATTGGAATAAATATCACAGCATGTACCCATATTAATGCTCCTTCCCCTGAACATCCAATATATCTGAGCCTTACTGCTCTGTACAATGAAAATGCAAAAATCAGATTTATTTAACATCTTTTAAAAGAAACAGTTCAAGGAATGTCACATCATTTACTGGGTTACATATATTTATGGGCACAATTATATAATACTCTCCCATGTAAATGTTTGTTTAAGCACACACATGCTATGCACCTGTAGACTATATAATCCAGAAATCCCTGAAACAGAGAAATATTAAATAACTAAACAACTTCAAAGATAATAATGAGGTCTGACTGGTACAAGTAAGAAAACTCAAGTAGGAAGCTAAGATAAAATAATTACTCAGGCATAGGCATGTAAGCAAATACAGGCTGCAAATTAAATATATTTTTACCATTTAACCCTCAAGAGAATTTTTTCCCTAAAGCTTGCTCAAAAATTAAACCCCCTGCCCAACCCTCCCCTACACAACCACTTTGCAAAGCAGCCTCAATGCCCATGTTTTAAACTCTTAACATCTGGCCAAGAATCTTTTCAAATCAGCTTTTTAACTTTTTTTTCCTATTTCATTACATTGTTCTCAAACTACTTGTTAATGGGGAAAAAGGAGGCTGGCCTTCATCCATCCCGTGTCTGTGATTGGCTGAAAGTTTATGAACCCCCTTCTGATTGGAGAATCACAAATCATCCCCTCCACCCTAGTTGAAACTGACCAGCAATCAGTGGACACATTCGTCAGTTTCACTATGAGAATCTTGGTCACTTTCATCTCCGCTGCTTTTCCCCTTGTTCTGAATTACAGCATCGCTCAGGACGAGGAGGAGAAGGGAAAACCCGCTTTGCATCCAGAAAACGTTTGTGGAGGAGAACAGGGGAGATGGATGATGGGGACTTACAGGCGTTAATTCCTCTCACACATTCCAGCATGGTGTTGGGAAAGGATTCACTCTACTGTATTTGATTCCCCCTTCTGCTTTGTTGGGAGAAGAGATCTCAAAGAAGATGCCTTTGGTGCTGTGGGCTCTTTGCCTTGGTGTCCTGGATACAGTCCTTTGCAGTTACTCAGAAGACCAGTGCAGCTGGAGGGGGAGGTATGGACTTAAGCCCTTAGTTAAAATGAGTTTGCCTCCAATGACCAGGGAGGCTCTGTGTAAATGTGCCCTCTTGTGAGAAATTATTTGCTTTGTCCAGAAACTTAGATAACTCTCTTGTGCATGTGTCAGATCCTCCACCCCATTGTCCTCAGTGGAAGTTTGGGTGGCACAACTGGTTATTAATGCATAAAAGGCTGATGAAGCAGAATTCAGGGTGTCACTTTGAGAAAGTAGCTGAGGGAGTGGAGTGGCAAATTTTCTGGGTGAGCTGCCATGGGTATCAAAAGACAGGGCTGGATTCTCCCCATATTTATACTGATGTAAATCAGCAATAAGACCACTGAACTTGATGCTGTAAGGGGGCAAAACATTTAACCAGAGGCTTGTGTACTTTTTTACCAACCTACTTTCCCTGCAAATTACTGAATTTCCTCTTTAGGAAGCTTCAGAAAAAGAAAATCCTAGTCCTTAGGACTGCTGATTTGAGTCACTTGCTCAGAACCATTGGGGATATAGATTCTCCTTCCTTAAAAAGGTGCTAGTTTATTTTTTTATCCCTTGATATAGCAGTTTGTGAGAATCTTCCCCCAAAGCTGGGAAAAATCTCTGATGGGTTTTCATGTAAATCCTCTCAGAACAAACATCTTCCCTCCCAAACCAACTCTTCCTGAGAAGCATCATCTTAAGTCTTTTAGAAGTTGTGGCCCGGGTACCCTTGCCTCCCTTCCCACTGCCTTCCCGCTGGTTGGGGGAGCAATGTTATTCTCTGGCTCTGTGGTGGTGGGTTGTACTTGGTGTGCTGATTGTTTTATTGTGCCCCAGGACTACAAATCTCTTATTGTTTCATTGAGAGGTAGAGAGGAAAGGGCGGGCAGGACTGGAGTGAAGAAGCACAAGTGCTTGAATTTGTTTAGTTTTCTCCAGTTTTTCTCAGGCCCACTTGCAAGATCAAAGTTATCCTGAGCATTACACTGTAATTTTCCTCCCCAGTGCTACAGGAACAGGTGCGAGTCTCAGACCTTGGCTGGCAGCTCATAGTTTCTCCATTTTCTTTCCTTTCCCCACAGCCTAAGTGTTTGGCACTTAATGTCAGGAATGAATAACAAATTCTGATGCAACAGATACTGACCCTTCCCAGAGAAGTCAGGCTGCCTGCACTCCCAGCAAACAGCTCTCAAAAGAAAGAAACCATTTGACTAACCTACAGCAGACCTCCCTTTAAGGCACAGGGTGAATTACACATCAACAAAATCTTGTTAACAGATGAAAAAACTCACAAGCCAAGGGGTCATTTAAATTTAAAACACAGCCAAAGGTGTTCAGATCAAAGCATGGTTTGCCAAGCAGCAGCACTTACATTGCAGACTGTTTGTGGCAGAGCTCATACTTTAGTTACACGTGTATAAGATGCCCTGCTGGACACTACAGCAATACCAGGATTAAAGTTGAGAGAAGGGCAGTCTGACCTTTGTGGAAATGCCTTTGCTGATAGGAAAGCCAAGCCTGCAGAGGGCAGCACCATGGGTGCTTTTTAAAATGACCCCAAGACATTTCAGCTGCAAGCATCTGTTTCTTCATGTTTGTGCCTTTGTGCAGCTGTACAGATGAGTTAACTATAATGAAGCCAAAATAGAGCAGGCACAGTCACTACAGTCAGCAGTGGGGTCTCGTTTGGAAGCAATGCTGTGACTTTTGCTTGCTAACCAATGGCATCCTGCAAAGAAAGGGAAGCAACCTGGTTGTGGACTGATGCACTGTCACGCTCCCATTGCTTTATAAGTCTAGATGTTGCTCTCTTGGTAAAGATTTAAGGGAGACAGTAACCTGGAAAGGTTTCTAAAACATCTGATGGTCCCAGTTTTGGATCATCTCAGACTGTCTGGCAAGGGAATAGATGAAAGCCTACATCAGAACTGGTTTCTCTTGATGGTTTCACAGTATCGTTCTGAGTTCCAGCTGCAGGGTCACAACTTCCAGGGACCACACAGATCAGATATTTCCCTCTTCTCTGTTCCAAGATTCCACACGTATTAGACACATGGGCTATTCCAGCAGACCTCATGCCCAACTAGCTTGCATGGATTCTCTCAAGCTAAGCGGGTGGAACTAAGACAGCACTTCGATATGAGCCCCTATA